GGCCGCAGGCCGCAGTGTGCGCACGGGTAGGGCCGCTCGCCTGTGTGCGTGCGCTGGTGTGTGACCAGGTAGGAGCGGCGCCCGAAACCCGCACCGCAGAAGGCGCAGCGGTAGGGCCGCTCACCCGTCGCCGGTGTGTCACCGCAGAAGGCGCAGCGGTAGGGCCGCTCACCCGTGTGGATGCGCCGGTGTGTGACCAGGTGTGACTTGTAAACGAAGCGCTTGCCACAGTCGGGGCACGGGAAGGGCTTCTCACCAGTGTGCGTGCGCTGGTGGATGGCCAGGTGCGAGCGGTACACGAAGCCCTTGCCACACTCTTCACAGCCGAAGGGCTTGACGGCCGCGTGGTAGCGCTGGTGCTTAGCCAGCCGCGACCGGTGCGGGAACACTTTGCCGCACACATCACACGTGGTCTCAGGCCGCCCAGCCGGCGCAGCCTCCTCGGTGGGGTAGGCCCAGGGTGCCTGCTGGTTTGAATCCGGCTCCTGGGCGGGCAGAAAGGACTTTGCCTCAGACTCCTCGGCCAGGACCCCGAGGTTGCCAGAGTCAGATCCCCAGCCCTCTGGAGTCTGCATAGAATCCGAGTCGTCAGGGCCCCATGTCCCTGGCACGTCTCCCACGCCATAGGCCGCTGACCACAGCCCCGGGGGTTCATTCTCTTCCTCAGCCATCTCTGCCAGGAAGTCCTCATCATCTTCTTCCTCGTGGTCCTCCATGTCATCCGTCCAGTACCAAGCTCCTGAAGGCCAGAAGAGAGAGGTGAGCAGACTGGAGAGCCCACAGCAGGTTCTGCTGGGAAAACGTCCCTTGCCTGCAGGTGTGGCTAGGCATTTCTACTCACTGAGGCAAGAAGCTGTCAGGCCCCACACTAGCTTTGACCACCCTAAGGGCAGGAAAGCCCTGGTCTTCCCCTAGGGACTTAAGGGCATGCTCATTTGATGGCCCCTCTCATCCTGAACCTTGTGCCTGCAGGTTCCTGTGAGACACAAGGTTAAGTGGCAATGTGAATCCTGTGCCCAGAACAAGAGGCAACATCTGCTTGGTGGCTGATGGAGGGCAGCCTGACACCATGATGTATCCAGGTATGGAGTAGGGACTCAGAGGGACAGGGGAGCTGCTCAGCCTGCAGCACCTACAGGTGTTCACAGCACTTGCACACCAGCTCTCTCCCACCTCTGCCCAGATCCCAGCAAGCAGAAAGCCTAGGCTTCCACTTCAGGGGTAGGAAACTCCTGCCACCTTACTTCGGACAAAGGCTGTGGCCTGGTTTGGCTCTCACCTGGCTAAGTGAGCCTGGATTACTGAGTCCCACCCTAAAGGGAGAGTCCCAGAAGCCTGGGCTGGCTGCCTGTGTCAGCACTGCACCTCACCAGGCCCTTGTTTTGTAGATACTCTCTATGTTGACCCAGAATCACCTGGGAAAACACAATCCATTGCCAAGTGAAGCCAGACACAGAACAGCACAGGCCTGGCTATTGGTTATGAAAAAACACCCGTCCATCACACAGAAGGACAAGGAAGTGTCTGTTTTATTTTTTCAGATTTTTTATTACTTTCTAATTTTTCTAAAGTTCATAATATACTATTATAAAAATGTAGGCTTTAAATTTTTGTTAAGTAACACCAGCTGCCATCCACAGCCACTTGAATGACAAGTGGCTGTCCCCCTTGCCAGTTCCTCCTTCCTGAGTGCCCTTATTTGGCTGAAACTCCTCAAATCTAGGAAGGCTGGAATACCCCTTGGGGCAGGGAGGAGCTGCGGAGGAATGGGCATCTGGGCTCACAGTCAGATCAAAAGCTCTTAGGCACTCTCTGACAGTCTTACTGAGTACTGTTTAACTTGTACCCACTAAGGCAGGGAAAACTCAGGCACATTAATATCCTAGCAGGTTTCTGACAGAGTCAGTCTGCACCCCTCAGGACCTAAGCAAGGATCAGTGACCATTTGGTGAATCTGTAATCTCAAAGAGCTGGACACCAGGCCCAGTGGGGGTTTGGTATGGGTACCTCCACTGCACCTTTCCCCTGAGAGCAGGCCTCATGGGGAGGTTGCCCCCACCGTGCCCCAAGGGCTCTGCAGAATGGACCGATCCTGACATATAAGGAAGCCTCACCCCTACCCCTGGAGGTGGCATGGTCACCTGTCCAAAAACAAGGACGAGTATGAGGTTGTACCTAAACATGCAGCAAGGTGACACAGGCCACAGGAAAGTAGAGGGAAGGGCACTTGAGTCCTGGGGAAGTCAGAACTGGCTGCATCCCAAGATGAGAGCTCAGGAAGTACTGGGCCACTGGGAGAGCACCCAGGGGAGACTGGCTAGCTTATCCTAAGGCCAGGTTTTATTCTCTTATTTTCTGCTGTGAAAGTGGCCCAAGATCTGCAGGTCTGGGTCCTGGAGTGGGATGTCCCATATAATAGCCACTCCAGGCTCACGGCTCTCAGGAAGGCTGCTGGCCCTCAGATCCCTTTTTTGGATCCAGGTGAAGAGTTATTAGCCCTACTTGTCAGAACCCAGCTGGGAGCAGACAGGATGCTCAGGTCAGGAGGGGTGCTGGCTATGTCTCAATAGCTGTAGGAAAGTGGCCCCATGTGTCAAAAACAACCACTTCATCCAGAACAGGGAGATGTGTGCCCTGGGGATGGGCCTGGCATTTCACCTTGTACCTAACATTTGTTCTAAGGACCTGACCTTGGGCAGTGATCAAGAGGGCCTCTGGGAAGATCCAGAGGGGCCGCGGGAAGTTATGAGTAAAATGCAAAGGCAAATCAGGGGCTCAGACTCAGCTGTCTAGGAAGGGAGAACCTCCCAGGCTCAGCCATGAGGACACCTTTGTAGCCTGTATCCTGAGCTGAGGACACCGAAGCTCCAGGGAAACAGCTTCTGCACATTGTGAATGGGCAAGTGAACAGGAGCTGGTAGAAAGAAAGTCCAAACAAAGGCCACCTTGGCAGGGTGGTGTCACAGGAAAGAACTTTAACACTTAGGGTTGCCTCAAGTGCTGACATCTGGCCACAGCTGTTTCCTAAAGTGAGTACTGCTTGGCAGTGTTGGTCTCAGAAGGTCTGCCCTTCCAAACTCAATACTGGGGGCTCTCACAGATCTTGATATTGCCCACCACACCTCTGTGTTCCACACCAGTGGTTCTTCTGCAAGCTGATCCTGTTCGGCTCATTTCCATACAGGCCAGGGGGTTACTTTATCACCTCTCTCTCAGCTGACTCTCCTAGGCAGCTCAAGGGCACGGGCTCTGCTGGGCCTGAACCACACTTCTACCATTTACTGGCTGTGGGACCTTGGGTAAGTCATTTAGTATCAGCTTACCCCTCTGTAAAATGGTTTCTAGTGGTACCTGAAATCTCTTTGTGAAACTGGTGCAAGGAGTAAAATAATTTAGCATATGTGCCTATAATGGTGTTACCAAAGTACTCCTATCACTGTAGGAACCAGGTGCTTCCCTCTGCTATGTATCACTATAGATTCCCCAAGGCTTCCCCTGCTATTTATCCTTATTCTCCATTTGCTCATTCTGTAGTTTCCTCAGTTATTGCAACAGGCTGTGCCCCTTTCCTATTCTAGGTTCATGTGGTCACAGATCCCCACTAACAGCCTTTTCTCCAGGAGGCTGAGTCCCAGTCCCTAACCCTAGACAGGCCACTAACCAGCGCTGTGCCCCTAGTCTAGCCATCATGGAGCTGTCCTGTCACCAGTACTTGGCAGAGTCAGGGCTCCCTAAGAGAGGCCCTGCAGCCTAGAGGTCCCTGAAGATAGTAAAGTCCTGCATGTCACCAAGAAGGCCTCAAGTACAATAGCCTCCCTTGCTTCTACCCAGGCCCTGGTTTATCTACACAGAAAGTCGGCTATCTCATGCTCTGTTAGCTAGTGGCCCTGAGAGCAGAGCTCTCCAGACAACTCCTGTAAGTGCCCACACCTGGGCATAGGGTGGGACAATTCCATCCCAGCTGCTGGGGCATGGCTCAGGACTGCTGAATGAACCCCAAATACATGAGCCAGCGAACTGGACCACCGCTGTCTGACACCACCTTGAGCCGCCTATGCCCATTTGGGGCTTCATGACATACTCTGAGCCTCAAGGTGGCCTGGGCCTCAAGTTGAGTCAGAACTGTGGGTTTCCCTCCTTGATAACCTGTCCTGAGTTCCCTAAGGTCAGCACTTGCCCTGAAACCTCCTGACTCCCCACCAGCCAAACTGCTTCCATCCAGGCACAGAAATTCAAGACAGGCTCAGGGAAGGACAGGCATCAAGGGAGGGATGACCACTGGGTGTGTCACCTTCATGGCCTTCCACCTGCACCAAGCCTTAGTCTCAGGAAGAACAAGACTCAAGACCTGGTCCTCTGGCTAGGACTAAAACAGGGAGCTTCAGTGACAGCCATGCCCCAGGAGAGAACCTTGGATAAGTAAAACCCAACTGAGGGAGGAGCCATCTGAGATCTCCCAGGTATTCATGGCTGTGTGTTGTGTGAACAGAACCCCCAGCAGGCTGGTGCTGCCTGGGCCTGCTGGAGGATGGGGGTCATAAAGGGCCCAGGATATCAGCTGCACTTACTTGCTGATCGCAGGTTCTCTCACCTCAGTGTGTCTCCACCTATGACTGTCTTTAAAACCCCGTCTTTGTTCCTTCCCATGTGATGTTTAAACTGAGTTAATCCTGGGCACTGTATTTCTCCTCTTTAAGCAGGGCAGGAGAAGCACTGAGGAGGTAGGGGTCACTGGCCAGCCTTCCAAAGCTTCCCCTGAAGACTGTGGAAGCTGCCACCGAGTATAGAACACCAGGAACATCCAAAAAATGGTGGCTAAAGCCAAAGAAGTAAAAAAACGTGCAACAAAAGGGAGAGCTAAGAACTGAGCCAGTCATGTGAAGGGTGCTCAAGGTCCCAGCAGCAGAGGAGACAGCAAGAACAAAGGCCCACAGGCCAGCAAGGCTTTACAGACAAAGGGTGTCTGTTTGGCAAAGCCTAATGGGGTATGAAGGACCCTGGAGGGGTGGTGGACCTCCTGGCTTTGTGGGGAGTTCGGCTACCATTCCAGATGCTGAGGTTAACCTTTGAGGTTGTCTCTGAGGGATAAGGCAGCCAGCAGCTTAGGCATACTGATAACCACATGTCTGCCAGCCTGGTTCATGACTGGGTCCACTGGGGCACTCTACGGGGGGTTCTGCAGGGGACACAGACAGCACCACACTTTGAGTCATGCTGTGCTCAGAGATTAAAAAGAGGCCAGGTGACAGACAAGACCAGGGCTGGACAGTCTGGAAATGGGGCATTTAAGGTTATTTGGGGAGAGAGGAGAGTACCCAGGGCTCCCCATGGGGAAGAAAACAGGTGAGGGCAGGTGGATTCAGTTCCAGGACATAGAAGCCAGAAAGCAGCAGGGAAACCAGTGCAGATGGGTTCGTCACAATGAGCAAAAAGGCCAGGCCTGCATGGACACAGGGCCAACCTGCAGGTTCCAGACACAGTTTCTCCAGCACTGTTCTCTGCTCCAGTGCAGGAAATGGGGCTCAACCAAGAACAAGAGTCTCTCCTGTGACCACAAGGGGCATTCCCAAAGAACAAGGAAACTTCAATCTAAGCCAGATAAGAAGGGCAGGAAGGGCTGAGCTCAGTGGCACATGCTTGGATTTCCACTCTGGAAGGCTGAAGCAGGAAGATTAAAAGTTTAAGTGTACCCTGGGCAACTTAGCAAGACCCTGTCTCAAAAATTTTTTAAAAGATTTAAAAATAGTCACAGTGCCTGCCTTGCAAACACAAGGACCTGAGTAAAAAAAAAAAACAGATTAAAAATAAAGGCTTGGCTCAGTGGTAGAGCTCTTGCTTAGTATGTAGATGGTCCTGAGTTCAATCTCTAGTATCCCAAAGGAGAGGGGAGAAGAGCTGGAGATGAATGGGGGTGTCCTGGAGCATGGTCTCAAGGACAGCAGAGGCTCTGAATAGCATTCCCAAGTGGAGGAATATGGCCAGAATACAAATGCCACATGTGGCCCAACTCATTAAGGAGCACAGCTGAGAAAAGCAGCACTTGTGTCTTGCAAGACTATAACCCACAAAAGAAAATCTCATCTTGGAACAGCTGGCATCTGTACTGCCTACACTCAGCAACTCTATTCCCAACTGTCCCAGATGAGCAGAAGAGATGAAGGGAGATGGCCATTTAGCCACAACATCATCATAGTTAAGGATAACCTCAAGCTCCTAACTCTGCCAGGGCTGCACCCAGCCTCTGTCACTGCATCTGCATCCCCTCCAAGCAGGCATAGGGCACATCATAATCTGCCTGGCTCCTGCCCCCATGACAGCTCTGCAAACAGGACTGGGCCAGGGGCCACCTAGGCTCACCAGCCCCAAAGCACAATTACCTACAGGATAGAGCACAGGGCCAGCCCTCCAAGGGAGCCCCAAGCCCTACACAGGTACACAAGGGACATAGTGCGTGTCACCTGAACTAAAAGGAGACCCAGACCACATAGCTTGAGGCTGTACAAGGCTCTACCCCAGGACCCTCCAAGAAGCATGGAGAACAGGGACACATGTAGACCACACACTGAGAGACTGGCCCCCACTGACCTGTGTCCCCTTGCCCTCCAGATTGCTTTTTTGAATGTGTCTGTAAATAGTAGAACTTCTCACCAAGGTCCTCAGAGAAGCACCACCTACAGTCTACAGTACAGCTGAAAATAAAGTACATGTGCCAGTGTGTTGCTGGGATATATTTTTCATTTTGTTTGGTAGGATCTCATTGTGTTGCACAGGCCAGCCTCAAACTCCCGATCCTCTTGTCTCAGTGTGCAACACTACACCCAGCTGTAGTTTTCTTTTAAAAGCCCCTCTCAGCTGACAGCACTCCAGCCCAGCCTCAGATGCTTGCAGGCCAAGAGTTTTCTCCACAACCTGAGCATAACCTGCAGAGTCCAATGAGAACCTCCACTCAGCATGAGTCCAACATGCTCAGGCTGGAAACCTTGGGTTTAGTTCAAATTACTTCAATTTTTTTTTTTTTTTACAGTACTGGGAATTGAACCCAGGGTCTTCATGCTGAGCTCCACTCCTAGCCCTTTTTATTTTTTATTTTGAGACGGGGTCTCACAAAGTTACGATGTAGCTCAAGCTGAGACTGAACTTGTGATTCTCCTGCCTTAGCATTCCAGAGCACTGGGATTACAGGCACACACTAGCTCAGATTCATTCTCCAGATGAATAAAGCCAGACTCAGGTGAAAAAAGAGAGCTAAAACTATTTCCAAGAATTGCAGAGAAATTTGCCACCCCAAATGTCTTATTACACTCCAAAATCCCCAAACTGCCCACGCAGGTCAAAGGCCTGCCCATGGCCTTCTGAAAAGCACAGGCAAAGCTGACAAGGACTATTTTGCAGAAATAGCCAAATGGATGGAAAGGCCAGAGCAATGGCTGAAGTCTCAGAATCAGAAAGATGCATCAACAGTCTGCTAGGCTACTTGGACCTGGTCTCGGCTCTGAGCCACCAATTTGACAACTACCCTCATTTACAAAAAGAAATCATCAGCTCCAAGGTGGGGACAGGGAGTCACTTTAAGGTTCTAAAGGACTTTCCAGCCCTTGGGCCTCTCTGGAGTTGGACATAGAGAACCCAAAAGGCAGAGGCAGAGCACACGGATCTTGCGCTCACCTGTGTAGACACCAGTGACAATGTCTCCCTCCTCAGGATGGGGGCTATCTGGGACCCAAGGCTCTTCCCCTTGTTCCAGGCGAAAGATCAAGTCTGGCTTCGGGACTGGGTAACCTGTCCAGGAGAGGAACAGATAGATGGTGGCTGTCACAGAAGACCCTGTGCTGTCCCCAGCATGCTCAGATCCTCTCCTCTCTCCCATCCTCCCCACCTTGCTCTGCTCTGGGAGATTGTATATCCCTTCCCTTGGGCACTTCCCTCACCACCCTGCCTTCCCACAGCCCTCCCCTGCTGGGGCCACACCTGCCTCAGCCTGCCCTGCAGTGCAGCACAGAGCCTGGAGCAGGGTCAGTAGCTACACCTGGCTTAGACACCTTTTGGCCCCACTGAGAGGGCAGAGTGGTCCTAGGGCTTCTCTCAGAGTGGGTACCTGGCCCTGAGGCTTCCTGGCCTGCTCTCAGACAGCTAAGTCTGCAGGTTGCCTCTTGGGGACAAAAGGCCCTTCCTTACCCAAGGACACCAGGATTCCATAGTTCTCTTGCATCACTTCCTGGTAGAGGCCCCGCTGGTCTGAGTCCAGCCTCTCCCACTCTTCCAGGGAGAAGTACACAGCTACATCTTCAAAGGTCACCAGCCCCTAGAAAGCACAGGGCCCCAGACACTGCCCTCAGCTGCCCTGTGTGACAGGCTGAGTACATTTCCAGGTGAGGGGAGCAGAGTGACTTTATGGGACAGCCAGCCCTTTGAAGTCACCATGTATGGTACAGATAAGTGGATGGCAGCCAAAAAAATTAGAACAGCCCAATGGCCCAGGAAGGAAACCCATACTCACTGGGCCTGGGACCTGTGGCCTTGTCCTAGTTCAGGGCCTAGGCCTTTCCTGAGGATCCCAGGGCCACTGCCCGCACAGTCCTCCAGGACTGGAAAGTACTCCAGGGAAACCCTACCCAGGTTATCTGACTACAACTAAGAGATGGCAGCTCACCTGAGAACCAGCTGTCAAGAAATCCTCCTCATCTTCATCTTCCTCTTCTTCTACCAGATCCTCATCCTGAGTGGTGACTGGAATTTGGCACATCTGCAGGACTAAGGGGACACATCTTAGGGGCAGGTGCCCACAAGCACCTGGTCTGGTCACCCCAGCTATCTTTGGCCTGGCTGATGGGCAGGGCTGGAGCTCCCGCTGCTTCTTTTCAAAAGCTGGCCCTGTAGCCTGGTGTGGGTAGCACATACCTTTAATCCCAGCATAGTGAGAAGCTAAGCAGGAGGATCACAAGTTCAAGCTCAGCCTGGGTAATTTAGTGACTTAGTAAAATCTTTTCTAAAAAATATAGTGTACCTTTGACTTATGAACTCAATTTGCTCTTGAGAGGTGGTTATAACTCAAGTTGATTTAAGTCAAGACTATTCTTCCCCATAAGAAATACAGTGGACTCTTGACTTACAAATTCAATTTGTTGAGGAGGGCTGGTTGTAACTCAAGTTCGTTATAAGTCAAGACTATTTTTCCCACAAGAAATAATGGAAATACGATAATGTGTTCTGAACCTCCCAAAGTACCCCTTAACCTTTTCATAAAAAAGGGGTCATTTAATGTGTATAATTTACCAGAAAAACCAATAATTTTCCTAGTGCAATATGGTCATAACCCAAGTTGTTCATATGTCAAGCCAGTCGTAACTCGAGGGTCCACTGTAAAAAATAAAGGGCTGTAGAAGTAGCTCAGTGCATATACTCTGGGTTCAATCTCCATACTTTAAAAAATAGGGGGGCCTCCCTCTCTAGCTTCAGCTCCAGAACTTTCCCTGGTCTAGCCAAGTTCCTGGCCTGGTCTTTTGATTTCCTTCCCCAGGGGCTGGCTCCTTTTTTTTTTTTTACCCTTTCCCAGAACCGGGGACTTGGCATCACCACCATGGCTCAGCTGTTCCTGGGTCCCCAATTCCGAACTCTGCTCTTCAACCAGCACTTCCTCCATGTCGTCATCATCATCGTCGTCATCATCATCATCATCATCGTTCTCAAACTCTGCCTCCACCTCTGCCATCTCCTGCACCTCAGCCTTCTCCACCACCTCCTCCACATCCTCTGCCTCTTCCACGATTATCTCCTCTTCCTCTTCTTCCACGTCTTCCACGTCTTTCCCCTTCTCCTCCTCCTCCTCCTGGTCAGGACTACATTCAGACCTGTCCTCCACCCTCTCGAGCTGGGCAGCTGGGGTATCTGGAGTGGTATGAAGGGCTGCCATCATCCCTGGGAGCAAGCTTCCGCTCAGCCTGAAACACAGATGGGCAATGTGGTGAAGTCACGGGAGTAGGGAGGACCAGGCTCTGTCTCCTATCTTCTGTCGTGTAATAGCTGCATTCACTTCCCAGAGAGGATGCCCAAACAGCCTCTCCGCATGAGCTCCTAGGACACAACCCTGCTCTCCCACCAGCAACCACACACCCAAGATGAGCTGCTGCCCTTTCCTGGGGTGAGTGGAGCACTTATCCCCAGTCTTTATTCTCAAGGACCCTGTGACACATGGAGTCCAGGCAGCACAGCCCAGGGTGGTCCAAACTTTGCTGAAAGAGGAGCGTCACCTATGAGCACAGAGAATGCAGAACTTACCCAGTCCTCGGCACACATGGACCAGGCCAGCAGAAATATGAGGCCCCAGCACAAACACACTGTGGGCCTTCAACAGGCAGGAGGAGGATCAGGCAGCTTCACTGGTCTCTTCAGAGAAAGGTGAGACCAGCCCTAAGAAACCAGCAGGCTGGCTCCTTCCTGCAAGTTGTGGGAGAGGAGCCATGAGCACATACCACCCTTGTGTCTGCCCTTCCCACTCGACTGTCCTGGGTGTCTGAGAAAAGCTCGATGGGTCAAGGACATGGCTTGTGGCTGGGCCAAAATAGGTAATGTAAAATGCCCTCTGGCATTTCATGAAGACTGGGGATCAGAGAATCTTGTGGGCTGGAATGCCAATCTCCCAGGGCTCCGGGATCCTAGCCTAGCCCTGATGAGACAGATGGCCAGACCTCAGACTCGCAGCAGACTCAACCACGAGGCCATGCAGTCTATAACTGTGAAGGCTATGGGACCCTGAGGGAGCACCTCTTTGCCACATCAATCTCTGGTGGAGTCCTGAGAGTCGGGCTCTTGTGTTTTGTGGAGTTTCTGTAGCTCCTTTTTGGGCATGAGCCCAAGACTGGGTTCACTGCCCAGCACCTGCCCCCATCAGTGTCTCAGATCTGAAAGGGGCCATTTCCAAAGCGAGTCCAGCCCACTGCCAAACACTAGGAGAGGGGGCACAAGTCCTGAAGGATCCAGGAGTGTCAGGCCACAGGGCAACAGCAGGCCCACCACAGCTTATCCAACTCTACCAGAGGACAGTATGTGCCTCAGAATGTCTAAACCAGCCTGTAGAGAGCCCAGGGTCATGAGGACAGACACTGGGCCCTGTATTCCTGTGGACACACCTGGGAGCACTGCCCAGTGACTGGATTACTCCCACCCATCATTTTCTATCCCAGCAGCATGTACTTTTTCTAAACTGTTCTGAGAAGCTACGCTAAAACCCACACTTTGACAACCAGGCAACTCCAACCCCTAATGCAGGCGTGCCCAATCCAGGGCTGGGACACCTGCTACCTAGAAGCCACCTTAGTCCTGACCATTCTTCAACTCAACTCCCTCATGCTAGATGCAAATCAGTCTCAAAGATCCAGGCCACAAAACTCAGCCCAGGAGGGCCACCAGGCCTCTGGCCTCTCCTAGAAGTTCACCTCCTTGCCTCCACCATGCCTGAAGTATGGAAATACATGTGCCTCTTGTCCCTCATGTGCCTTGTGTTGCCCAAGGCTGCAGCCCTGCTCAACACTTAGGGTACTGAGAACATTCAGCAGTGGCTTCCCAACTGTCACTCACCTCAGACCCAAAAGAAGGGTCTTCTCACTGAGGCCTCAGGTGGAAAATTCAAGCTGAACCCAGATACTAGCAGAACTTCCTGCCTGGCCCAGCATCTAGAGCAGCCACTGTCCCATGGCCCTAAGGCAGCCTGTTGTATATGAGGACCCAACAAAAGCTTCTGAATAAGAGGCCTATGCTTACCACCTCAGAACCTTTGCATGTATCATTCTCCCTCCCTGGAACTCTTTACTCTTCATTGACCTTTCAGAGGCAGCCACCATGAGCCTCTGTCACACACAGTTCCTGGTTCTCTTCCCTGGCCAACAACTACACATTTTTTACTTGAGACCAGTCAAATGAGGGAGTGCAGGAGATCCCTCTACTCCCCCCTGAATCTCACCATTCCAGACACACACAGTACTCCAGGACTTACTGAAGAATGGACCCTAAATCCTATAGATAATGTGATGGACATAAACTCAGCTATGGGGGTCCTTCAAACTAGAACCCACCCCAGAAGTAGTGGAGTCTCTGTCTCCAAAGAGGACACTGGTTTAAGTCCCTTCTCCCACTGGTGACCACAGAAGAGGGAAGTCCAGCTCCTGCAGAGTTCAATGGTCTCACAGCAGTCAGCCTGGGGCTAAGCACAGCCAGACACTCATGTACCCAACTCTGAATTCAGAACCAATGCTCAGAAAAACAGGCTTCCAGGTCAGTCAGTTTATATTCCTGCAGCCTGGGTCCTGGTGTCTTCCTGTCTCTCAGATACACACATTCCCTTGCCTCTCCAGAGGGTCTGTTCCCTTTGACTTTGTCAATTCCCCTTGACTTCAATTCCAAGTCCAAAGTCACAGGGAGTCAAGTAAGCAGCCTCATCCAGTAAATCCCTGGGTCACTCAGACCCTCATTTTCACTGGGACCCTGCACCCCAGACATGGTGCAGCAGATATTTAGAATTGGGGATGACAAACATGTCTTTAATGAAAAGGGAGTGAGTAATCAAGGACAGAACTGGCAAAGCTTGAAAACTTAGAAACTTCATAAAGGTCCCAAATCCAGGGAAACCCATGGGGACGTGCAGTAGATATATGTGTACACTTGTATCCAGTCATCTTTCTGTCTGGGTGGCCCCATGGATTTCAGGGCCCCTCCAGTCTTCTTGTCTATCACAATGCTCACTGTCTGTCTGTGGGTCTTAGTAGCCTCCACTCTACCTGGCCTTTCTCCTGTTGCATGTGTATCCATGGAGGCCATTCCAGATCCAGGTAGCCCCTTTACCAGGCCAATCAGCTCCCCAGACCTGCCAATACTTGTTAAACAGAACCAAGTGCTAACCTAAGTGCCAAGCAGAGCCAGTGGCCTGATCCTCCTGACATGTGCAACTCCCTTTTCCTCCTACCCATCACCTTCCAAAGGCCACCGCTCTCCTGCCTGTGTGGCCATCTCCTACTCCATCCAACCTCAGAGCTGAGTTTCCCTAATCACCCACTGGCAAGAATATTTAGCATAACAGCTCTGCCAGGCCTCCATTTGCAGATAGTAGGGAAGACTCAGACACTCCCCCATCCCAAAGTCACAAAGCAGACTGCGGGGGCGCCAGGACAAGCTGTCTTTCCCATTCCTCCTCTCAAGGGGCTCATCGGGCCCCCACCTCCTGCAGAGAAACCACTGCTGTTGACAGCCCCTCCTGGATGGGTGTGTCCGCGGGGCGGGGGCGGGAGAGGCCCAGCCCCCGAGGCCCAGGAGAGGCAGCGGCTGGGCCAGGCATCTCCCCAAGTGTCGCGCGTGTCTTCCCCAGCCCACCCCTTCTG